GTTCTTTTTGGACCAAAAATCTTTTGGCCCATCGACAAAAAACCTTGCCCATTTTGCCCATCGTTTTTTTCCGATACAACAGAAGTTTGCCCATTGGACTAAAAATCCTGGTTACGCCGCTGCGTGCCACCTGAGAATGTTTATTCGTAAGTTAAGTATTATTGCGTCTCACAGCATACCAAACTGAAGCTTTAGCCTTTTTTCATAAATAAAAGTTGCGCTGGGTCCTGTTTACACAGTTTTTTTCAGTTTGTGGTAGAGACGAGCAAAAATTGGAATATGCGAAATGCGCACGACTTTTGCAAGGTGCTAATTTTGCATCTCTTGACCATTATCCCAAAAAGTATTCATCGATAAAAAATCATAATTTAACATTGCGTTTTAAAGCAAAAGGTTTACCAAATTTTATGCTCTTTGAAGCTTTTTATTGGATTTTTTATACAGGACAAAGCATCGTTTCAAACATAGCAGAAATGAAGGAAAGTGTAGTTCACTTTACAACACGTTTTCTGTAAAAACTTTCGATCCACTATCATTTCATTTCTTTCGAAGCGGTTTACACAATTCTGCAAATAAAAGTGCAATCCTCTATATTACCTGAGAGTTATGAAAGAAAGGACAAGAGACAGTACCAAACGCACAGTAGAACAAAAAGTTCGAGCGAAGTCCATCAGATCTTCAGTCAAAGTAGCGCAACTTCCCATTTAGTTTTTATATCTAACAGATAAGCTGCGGTGTGCATTAGTACTCTTGTTAGCTTCCTTTTCCACCCGGATACCATTTATTCCAATAAACTACGGTCAAGCGTGGTGAACCAATATCATTGGTAAAAGTCCAATATATTGACACACAACATTATTAGGTCCCAATATATTGTATTGGTACATGCCTAACCTTCTCTCGTAAGCTCTTACTAAATCTCTGGAGTCGTTTGATGGCACTATATCAGACTTTAGTATGCAAAAGTGAAAAAGGTAACCAGGGACCTGAGTAGGTGCTGGACATTGGGCGGGTGTAACGAAAGTTTTTTGTCCGAGATAGTGTGAACTTTATTTTAAATAATTACCTTGTTTCTGTTCTTTTAAATTTTGGGGGGTACACCCCCTCCCCCACACACACCCCCAAAATTCAGGTCTCTGAAGGTAACAAATAGGATAGATTTTCAATCCGTTCCGACGGCTAGAAAGTTTCCACGAAAACATGTTGTAAATTCAAGGAATAGAAAATGGCAGAAAATGTATCTCTTATGAATGCTGTGATGAAAACCATGCTGTCGAAACATTCTGCTTTCCGTGTCAAAATCTGACTTTGAAAAAACCCGCGCTCGAACACGTCCAGAATTTGCGCTTTCTCTATAAATTCTTAAATTAGGCGTGAGTAAATAAGAAAATTAGGCATGCGCTGATTGCTACTGAAGTTAGAAAAAATAATGACTTACCACTAGAATCCAAATCTAAATTTTTGAATAATAGTCGAAGTTTATTTTCTTGTTGCAATGCATAGTTAATAAACTGTCTAAATGTTATGCTACTTTGTCCACCACTTTCATTCAATATACGCTAAAACGAAGTACAATATTGTCTGAAAGAATATTTTTTATGTTTGGCTAAATATTCTGAGAGTTGAGATTGAAAGTTATTTCAAATGAATTACTAACTGACTGTACGCTATTGCTTTACATAGCTCCTTTTTCAGATCATTAATATTGATTTGTTTAAAACTGGCTAGGCTAGTTGAGTTTCAGACGTATCGATCCGTACATTAGTAATTAGTGAAAATCGTGAAACATACTCGTGCTCTTTGTAGTCGTTTCTGTTCAGTTACTCCAATTTGTTCTAAAGCATAAACTAATTCATCAATATCAATTTTATTATCGTGACTTTTATCAATTGATTTAAACAATTCATTTAATTTAATTTTATCTTTAAGACCAACATTGCTTTTCTTCTTCTCATCCATTACTCTTGTTTATTATCATTTCATTATATACCGACATATGCGTCAAATGAACTATGCTGTCCTTGACTGGTTCCCCACTTAAAAAGAACGAAAAAAATCAAGAGAAATGTCCAAAAAACTAAAAAGAATGGTTAATAAAACATCTCGAATTCGCCTTTTTAGTTTTCTGGACATTTCTCTTGACCTTGTGGAAGCTTTTTGAAAATATTAAAGATGTTTTCATTCAACTCGCCATCGTTTTTAGCCAATTTAATGCCATTTCCATTAAATTTGAACGAAAAATTAAAGAGTTAGTCGAACATGGCTTGACCGTTTTCCACGTTTGTGGCAAAAACAGTGATTTTTCTCAAGATCAAAACACAACGTAAAAAACTAAATGGGTACTGTTAAAGCTCGTGTTTCAGCGGTTCCAATGATATAAGACACTTGGCTTTATCTCTTCGTTCTCGAAAACTAGCCAGATTTGCAAAGTTGCATACTAGCATACCCTAGTAGAGGCGTTCGTCAGAGCCGTACTAGACAGACTTTTAACTTCAAAATCAATCAGAGACCATTCTTATACTCAGTTTTTGATGGCGAATCAGAAAAAAACCCTGGAAAAGTTTCCACAACAAAAAGGATAAAAGTTTGAATTTTTCTCAAATGAGCCTTTTTTTCAATTTTTTACATCCTTCGAGTTTTTCAAATTTTTCTCGCTTTAAACATTGTCCAGAAAATTAAAAAGCACAGATTCGTGATCACCACATCAAACTCTATTAAACGATGGATAAACATAAATTAAATAAAATCTGCTCCGTTTTTACATTGTTGGCACCTTACATATAAATCGGCTTGGTCGAGAGTGGTAGAATGACATTTTTTCCCCTTTTGCGACTTCTGTCTTCTGGATTGGTCAATAGATTAGGTCGAAAAAAATTTTCTCAATGTAAGTGAGCTAGTTCTCAGCTCTAAAAACTTGATTTGTCGCATCGATCAAAACTTATAGCGAAAAATGGAGGTCGTGACGGAATGACAAAAAATAGAAACTTTTTTTCCAAGATTTCTCAAACGTCTAAGATTCCGCTCAGCCAACACACTTCTTACGAGGAAACTTATGGACATGTCCTCCGCTTTCATTCATTCATACGTCGATCGATAGAGGATATCGAGGTTAAAAGGCTAAAAAGGTTTTGGACTGATGGCTTTTGCTTCAAAGGTTACAGACATTTTTCTGTTTTTCCCCGTGAAAAATAGAAAAATTCATATCTCTGTTCAGAAAAGTAGTTAAGAGCTCAAACCTCTATATTTCTATGATATCCACACAAAGTTTCACTTTTACAACTGAATCCATTCCCGAATTACTGAATGTTAAGTTTTCCATACGTTAGCCCTCTCATAGGCTCACAACATAATGACTTTCCAAATCGTTAGTTTTCCACTAAAACTGTTGAAACTTTCATAAATGACACAGTTTTGTAGTCTAATTTCGTTTATGAAAACAAAAAAGAGTTTTCAGGCTGGCTGTAGATATGAGGTCTCTAGAGACTTCCTTGAAAATCGGAGTTACGAAACATTAAAGTTATATAATTTCGATTAGCTTTCTGTATGTGTCGATCAAAACCATGTCATTTACAAAAGTTTCAACAGCTCTACTGGAAAACTAACGATTTGGCAAGCCATTAGATTGTGAGCCTGATGAAAGAGCTAATCCATTAAAAACTTAAAATTTAATAACTCGAGAATGTTGCATCGATACCTCTGCTGGTACAGTTTATGCTTTCTTCAAAGAGTTGCACACAGTTCCAGCTTATCTCAGGCCTATATATGACTTATAGTATGTAAAGCTGCCTTGATTGTGCTGGTTGCTATGCACTTGTTAGCTCTAGAGAGAAAGTACTTAGAATTTTAGGGTAGATTTGTATTGAGTAATTATTCGCGATAAACAAACTGCTGTTTTTATTTAAAATAAAACGAGGACTTATGCCGTCATTTTTATCTCAAAGAAGCCTTAACTGTCCGGCTGCTTCTAGGCCTCTACGTTCTCGTGAGGCTAGATACTTTTATATGATTAAGGGACTCAATGATTTCAAGTCAAATTTATTTAGTCCATGATCTTAAAAACTGACAGGGTAGTGATAAAACGTTTAGCAAAAACAAAAAACTTTGACGAAATCACCCCACTACACAAAAAAGAAATAAGAAATTTTGATGACGGAGTAGCCAGAAATAATTTTTTAACCCTTGAAATAAATCAGAAAATAATAAAATTCGTGTAAAATCGGTCAAAAGATCTTAAAAGTTCTTGATCAGAATAAAAAGAGGAAAATGTTAAAGAAAAGAACAAGAACACCATTGTGTTTTTTGCTTCACCGTACATGTAATGGCCTACTTCATCTGTTATATTATTATCAAGAAGGAGAGAAGGAGATGCTAACCAGAGCTGATCACCTACATGGTAAACTGCCTGCAAACTGCAGGCAGTGCAGGCAGGTTGCAGTTTGCAGGTGAATAAAAAAAATTTCCACTA